GCGAGGTGGTCTGCAGTGTGCCCGAAGACGAAGTGGGCCGAAGGAGAGCTTAGCCTAGCGGTAGAGGTAGTAGCGGCCATAGCTGCCATAGCTGGGAGAAGAGTGTAGCGTGTGTGTGTGTGTGTGTGTACAGTGTGTTGCGTGTGGGATATCCATGGCTGTCTCTTATACACATCTAGATGTGTATAAGAGACAGGTGTGTGTGCGTGGCTGTGTGTGTGTGTGTGGTCTGTGTGCATGCGCGCACAGTCTCTTGCTCTCTCTCTCCTCCCGAGCTATGTGAACTCGGTGCTTTATGCTTCGTGAATTAGTGCTATCTGAACTCGGTGCTTCGTGAATTGGTGCAACGTGAATTTGGTGCTTCGTGGATTGGCGGTTTGGTGCGACGTGCTAGGCAAATTGCAGCTACTTACGTGCTTGGAGCTGCGTCTTGCACGATATCTCTCTCCTCTCTCCTGCTACATGCTACTGGTTGTGGTGTTTCCCTGAAGTTGGTTCTAGCACTCGGTGTCTCCGTGAACTTGGTTCTTCGTTCCTGCTTTGTGCATGGGCTGCCGTGCTTCATGGATCGGTGGCCCATGCTTCTTGAGCCTTTGTTTACATTCGTGATTCGGGAATTGTGGATCCGTGGATTGGTGGTCCATGTTTCGTGGATCGGAGGATTGGTAGTCCGTGCTTCGTGGATGGGTGGAAGGGTGGAAGGGTGGTTCAAGCCTTGGGGAACGGTGGATTGGTAGTCCGTCGTGCATTGGCCGTCGTGCTTCGTGGATCGGTGGTTCGTGCTGCTATGCGAGCTTGAGCCTTTGTCTACATTCGTGAACTTCGAGGACTAGCCTAAGGTTGTGTTGTCGGTCGGAGGCTTCGTCGACATTGCTGAATCAAGTGAGTGCTTTTCTCTCCACTTGCAGCCCTCACCTCCAACCCCTAAAAATATATATATATAGCATTTCTAATACTACACCATCGACCACTCGGACATCTTTCCATTCGGACATTTTGGGAACTTTCTTGCATTCTTTTCTCTTTTTCTCCTTTCTGCGCCTAGATGGCAGGCTTGATTTCCGAAGTGGCACAACCTTTGTTGGGGAAGGATTTTATTGGGTCCTTATTTCTCTGTAGTGGGAGAA